TTTTTCCACATTCATTTCCATGCCATAGCACCTTCCAATTTCAATTAGTCTATCAATCATGCCCTGTAGCACAGTTTCTTCCTTAGCCATTAACACAAGGTCATCTGCATATTTCACAGTTTGAATAATTTGCCCTCCTACTTTGAAGTCTCCGAGCCCATTCAGAGCTTCCTTGGTAAGGCATTTGCTGTACAAGTTGAACAGAATTGGTGATAAACAGCATCCTTGTTGAACTCCTCTTCCAATCTGCACACTTCCTGTCTCCCCTCTGTCCAGTCGTACTCTAACTTTCTGATCCATGTACAATTTGCTAAGCAATCTTCTTTCACGCCAGTCGATACCTGTTTCCACTATATATAAAAATAATTAGTTTTGAATTAAAATATGTTGATGTCGTTCCATTTGTCGTCATCTGTTTATAAAAATATTTGTGAGCAAATTATCTGGGGGGGGCGGTTATCTGTGTAAACTGTAACTACTAATGGGAATTGATTATTTCAAGGATTCAACCCATTTGTTGCAGGTGAGATCATTCAGAATAATGTGTGGCTGTATATTAACCCATTGCAGAGTCGATTTAAATGCCCCACTCTGCCCACTATTCATGATCATTTCTTAAAGACTACCGAAATTTTGTGTTTGCATCTGTGGACTAGCCCATACTGGATTTACATGAAACTTGCAGGAATTGTCCATAAAGGCCTCTGGAATGCTTTCAAAGTATGGTACTTCAGAAAACATCTCCCTTTGTGCAGTGGAATTCAGCAGTCTTTACACATGCACCTGAGTTTCTTTCTTTTATTTGTGAACAGCACACACTTGACATGCCCATATGACATACTTTGAGGTCTGTTTTCATAAACAGACTTTATTGGAAATGTGTCATCTAGGTGGCAGCAGTGCTTCTTGCATATTTTTATTCTCTCAAGCTTAGTGTCTTAGTATAAATATAGCTGTTTTTACAGAACATTTCATGTCATTGAAGTTGGATATTTTGATGATTGAGGTTAGCTCTTTCTAAGGGACCAAACAGAATAGGTGTCTCACCCCTCACATGAGAATGAAAACAGGTCCAGTTTCCAAGATATTGTGTTTTTTATTTTTTCGAATGTTAGACAATGAACAAAGTCCATAAACCCAGTAATTCTGAGTGATATACATCATCGTCAGAACCCTTTAAAATCTACTTGATGGTGTTTGTTTTTAACACTTTCCCATTGAATAACAGAATAGGTGAAGTTTCAGAATGAAGTGACAGTCCACTTCATCTATCTTTGGACCAGATATTCTCCTTTTCAGTCCCCTGTTCCCCAACACCCTCAGTCTATGTTCCAACCTTAATGTAGGAGACCGAGTTTCACACCCGTACAGAACCACATGCAAAATTGTAGTTTTGTATATTCTGATTTTTACGTTTTTAGACAGCATATGAGAAGACAAAAGGTTCTGGATTGAATGGTAGCAAACATTACCTGAATTCAATCTCCTCATCTTGGTTTCCTCAAATTTCGATTTCTTACTGTCAATCCAAAATATTTGAACTGTGCCACATTTTCAGAGGATCTCTTAGCTTTCTTTATGTCATGATTTCGCCGTGCATTCTGGTGACGAGACAGCAACATGTACTTAGTTTGACCGTGCCATTGGATGGAAAGAAACTGTTGGTGACACTGATGACCAGCTGCAGACCAACATTCATGCATAGAAATGCAAGAAACAAGAGCATGCCCGACTTGCAACTACAGCATGTGTGACTTTTGTTTTTTCAGATTCATTACCACAGGCACCATGCACAGGACCTTACCCTGATCCGGATGAATCCAGTCCTCATCTTCAAACCTTATTTCTTTAAGATTCATTTTAATATTATTGTCCCATCTGCTACAAGGTCTTCCAAGTGATCTCATCTACTATGGTTTAGGGTTACAATTTTGTATGTATTTCTTATCTCTTGAGTAGTTTCTCAAAGATGTCTCTGCTTCACATAAGTGTCAACATATTATACAATAATTATGAATGATGTGGGATGAAGCAGTGTCATATTCTGCCCTAGCATCAGGTTTAAGATGTAAATATGAATTTGTGGAATATTTGTGTTATGTTGCAGCAACTGCCAGGCCATGCTACCAGCTACTGGTGCACCAGTGTCACGGCAGCGGGCCAGCAAAATGAGGGAGATGTTCAATGAGTATGTTCGGATACGGACTCTCGAGAACTGGAAATTCTGGATTGTATCCTTTGCATCATTAGAATTAAAATTTGTAAGACAACAAACATTGTATTCCTCACTTAGTCCATTTAGAAGGATCTTCTTATGCTCACTGACATTCACCATTGTGGGACCTCAGAGGTTCGTCACTGTGTTTACAAAAGTCCGTTACAAGAACCTGTTCTTGGACTCTTCATTAAAGTCTGTATCTTCACACATGTTCTCCAAGATCCAATTTGGTACGAGGGCTCTTCAGAAAGTAACATCCATTTATTTTAGGCAACTAGTGTAGGAGAGCTCGTGCATGCAAGGTAGCGTCACATGACTCATTGCCTTGTTAAGCATCACATAACTGGTCACCTAGTTAACAATCAAGTTTCTTCCGTCAAATGTGACACTTTTTTAAGTTTTCCACCTCGTCAGCACCTGCCTTACATGTTTCGGCTCACCACGGAGCCATCATCAGAGGCATTTATAGTAGAAAAAGAAATCACCAACACACAAAACTTCACTTTGTCCAAGATAGCCACGTTCCAGTTAATTAAAATAATTACAAATAGTTAAAATTACCCAGA